AAGCGGACGGCCATTGCCAATTCCGTGCTTTATGCGTTGGTCTCGGGTTCCCTGAGCATGCCCACGGGGAGCTCCGCGAGTGCATCGCCCAGTATTTGTCCACTCGCCGCGGCGAGTTCATCGCGTTCATCGACGGCCCGCAGGAGCAGGCCGCTGACAGGTGGGGCCGTTACCTCCACGGGCTCCGGGGCAAGGAGTGGGGCGACCAAGTGACGTTAACGGTGGCGTCGCGCATGTTCAAGCGGGCGATCACGGTCGTCAGCGACAACCCTGGGCAGGCTTACGTTACCGACCACATTCCTCCTGTCGTCGAGGGAGTTCCCATCGTCCTCGCCCATTATGGCGAGTTCCACTACGAGGGCACCGTGGCACTTTAGGGCACTAGCAGTCTCTCGCGCGCCTGCGCTCACCTAGGACAAGTTTTCGCGGGGGGGGGGCTCGGGGCAGGGAGGTGGGAAAGGAGGGAGACAAGGAGGGGGAGGTGGAGGATTCAAGGACACAAAAGAGAAATGTGACACATGCACACGACGTTGGGCGGCAAGGAGGAATAGGATGAGGAGGGGGAGGAGGAATAAGAGGAGGAGGGCGAGGAGGAGGAGGAGGAGCAGGAGGAGGAGGAGCAGGAGGAGGATGAACAGGAGCAGGAGCAGGAGCAGGAGCAGGAGCAGGAGGAGCAGGAAAAGCAGGAGAAGCAGGAGAAGCAGGAGGAGTAGGAGGGGAGCGGTTTGGCAGCCGAACCGCAGTTGTTCCCGATATATCATCAGCGTCAGCATCGCGGGCATTTCGCGGCCTTCCCGCCTTCTCCCCATTCCATGGCGTCCCTCCTCCTCCATGTTTCCCTCCTCCCCCTCTTTTTCCACATTTCCCCCCTCCCTCCCTTTCTTTCCTCCCTACTGCTACTGCTACGACGGCTACTACGAGTGAACTACTAATACTAGTGTTACTACTAGTACGAATGGTAGCACTGACTACTACGATTGCTGCTGCTGCTGCTGCTGCTTACTACTACTACTACTACTACTACTACTACTACTACTACTACTACTACTACTACTACTACTACTACTACTACTACTACTATACCTACTACTACTACTACTACTACTACTACTACTACTACTACTACTACTACTACTACTACTACTACTACTACTACTACTACTAAGCAGCGCGAGTACTTCCTAGGGCTAGAACTCCCTAGCGCCAGTACTTGCTAGCACCCCCTCGGACTAGCACTCCCTAGGACTAGTACTCCCTGGGGTTGGTATTCCGTAGCGCGAGTACTCCCTAGGACGAGTATTCCCTTTGAACGAGTACGCCCTAGGGGTAGTAATTCCTAGGACTGGTACTCCCTGAGGCTAGCACTCCGTAGGACTAGTAGGACTAGTACTCCCTATAAATGGTATTCCCTAACACCAGCACTACAGCACCATAGCACTACCGCACTACAGCACCACTACCACAATACCAGTACCACAACACCACAACCACAACACCACAACACCGCTACCACGATACCATAATCACAACACCACAACACCGCTACCACAACACCACTACCACAGCACCACTGCCACTACCACAGCACTAGTACCTACTAGCAACTCAACAACATTACCAACACCACACCACTAACACAACACTACCAACACCACACCACTAACACAGCACACCACTACCAACACCACACCACTAACACAGCATACAGCACAACCAGCCACTACCAATACCATACCACTAACACAACATTACCAACACCACACCACTAACACAATACAACACCACCACACCACTCACACACCACTGACGTTGGTTCCAGGTGGGAGTTACTGTGGCCACTTTTGCCTGCGCGGGAGTGCATTCCCTTAAGGGTTGCGAATCTCTCCAGATCTAACATGAGATACCTTTACATATTACTTTTCATTGAGCGGCCTGCGCGGGCCACAGTAACTCCCATCCGGCCGTGCGGCGGGCCACACTAACACCCAACGGGCCATACTAACACCCAACGGGCCACAGTAACACCCGGTCGCCCTGGCCCCCCCCGGGCCGCGCACATGCCGCCGGCCATGATTTGCACCCCCCCGTCTTGGACGCCCCCCTCTCGGCCGCTCCCGAGTGTCCCTCTGAAGGAGGAAGGGAAGGTTCAAGAACATTCAAATCAATCGGGACGATGTTTGTCGACCGTTTCTGATTCTTTTGGGGGTGTACTGTCTGACTTTTTATTTGTCTTCGTCCAGGAGCCGCCTGGAGGAGGACGTGCCCGGCCTGACAGCAGGACCCCCCCCTCGGGCGTGCAGTCCTGAGCCCCGGGGAGAGCCGGGGCCACCGCGCGCGCGCGGCCAGGTCGCGCTCGCATCAGCAGCCGACGGCCAGGACACGTCCCGCTTTGGCCCTGCTCTGTCCTCGCAGGGAGGGGCAGCGTTAAGTCGGGCTTGTCCCTCTACCGGGGGAATAATCAAAAATAGTATAATCATAGTCCGGGGACGATTTTTGGAGCATTTTTTGACCATTCGTCGACACTTCTTGGATTATTTTGAGCATTTTTGGAGTATCTGGGAGTATCCTTTATTTGGGGGTATTTTTATTTTGGAGTGTTTGGGGGTATTCTTTATTTTAGTCTGGGTATTTTGGGAGTATTCTTTATTTTGTAGCGAAAATCCCCCCTGTAGGGGGACACGCCTCGCAGGGAGGGTAGCGGGGAGGGCGAGGGGCACAGCCGGGGGGCGGGGGGCTCGGCTCTTTTTTAGGGGGGGGTTGCGTAAGGCAGTGGCGAAGCGTCCTGGCTCGAGGAGGAGGAGGAGGGAAGGAGGAGGAGGGGGAGGAGGAGAGGAGGAGGAGGAGGACGGAGGAGGAGGAGGAGGAGGAGAGGAGGAGAGGAGGAGGAGGGGAGGAGAGGAGGAGAAGGAGGAGGAGGAGGAGGAGGAGGAGGAGGAGGAGGAGGCGGAGGAGGAGGAGGAGGAGGGGAGGAGGAGGAGGAGGAGAGGGGCGGAGGAGGAGGAGGCGGAGAGGAGGGGGGGGAGGAGGAGGAACGGAGAAGTAGGAGGAGGCGGAGGGGGCGGAGGAGGAGGGGGAGGAGGGCCTTATTGTGGTCTGCACGAAAGTTCTCAGAACCTTTCCGGCCGGGGCTGTCTTGCTTCAGCACATCAGCAGGTTTAGGTCCTGAGAGCACTGTTTCTGTCATTACAACGTTTCTTCTGGGTTATGTGAACATGTCGTGGTAGGTCTATAGGGATGCCGGGACGGTCCGTTCCTGCTCAATTGAGGGGTGTTCGTTTGGCCCAGGTCCGGCTGTAACATCCTGCAAGACAAACGGGAAAACGCTTGAGGGGGCCCTCCCCCAGGAGGCACACAGGAGCATCCAGCAGGCGCGGGGAGCATCGGGGTGAGTGCCCTCCCTGGACCGACCTCGGCCTTGGACCTCGGTCCGACCGTGTTTTCTTCCCGCCCCCTTTTTTCGCAGAACTCGCAGTCGGAGCTCGCCGCGGACGTGGTCTCTGTTTGGGACGAGCGTCGCCTACCCCACAGCGGCCGCCGCAGGTCTTGGACCACGTTGGATAGAGGTCGTGGTTCCCCGTTCTGTTTAGCTTTTGGGGTTCGGGTGCGACAAAGGCCCCTCGGGACCGAGCCTCGCAGAACAAACACCGGCGTACGCATAAACTTTTCGCGCTCCGCGCGGATTTCTTGGATCCGCGCTGGGGCCCCGGGGTTCCAGCGTTATGTCGAGCATGTCCCTCTACAGGAGGAATGTTCCAAGATAGTAAAAAAATCGTCAGTGGATGATTATTTCTGGTATTTTCGTGTATTGTTGATTCTTGTTTGACCATTTCTCATTTTTCGTTCCAAGTCCGCCTGGACGAGGACATGCTCGACCTAAGTCCAGCGCGGATCCAAAATTATCCTGGCGAAGGACCCAACCAGATGCAGTTGCGAGTACCGCAATTTTGAATATCTTCTTCGATGGCGCTCCCTATGGGGCCACGAAACGTATGAGGGGTGTGCCGAAATCTGTGCGGTGGGCGCATGGGAGCGCAGCCACTGGGGCCTTCGCTGGAGCTCCCTATTCGCTTGAGCTCCCTATGCGGGCCACGAACGTGTGAGGGGTGTGCCGAAAGGGTGGGCGGGCGCTGGAGCGCAGGGGGGCCCCCCCACTGTCGGGCCTTCGTACTCCCTCCAAGTGCCGTCACGAAACGTGTGAGGGGTGTGCCGAAATGGTGTGCGGGACGCATGCGGGCACACCCACTGGAACCTTCGGTGGAGCTCCCTATGGGGCCACGAAACGTGTGAGGGGTGTGCCGAAATGGGTGCGGTGGGCGCATGGGGGCGCAGCCACTGGGGCCTTCGGTGGAGCTCCCTATGGGGCCACGAAACGTGTGAGGGGTGTGCCGAAATCTGCGCGGTGGGCGCATGGGAGCGCAGCCACTCGGGCCTTCGCTGGAGTTCCCCATGGGGCCACGAAACGTGTGAGGGGTGTGCCGAAATGGGTGCGGTGGGCGCATGGGAGCGCAGCCACTGGGGCCTTCGCTGGAGCTCCCAATGGGACCACGAAACGTGTGAGGGGTGTGCCGAAATGGGTGCGGTGGGCGCATGGGAGCGCAGCCACTGGGGCCTTCGCTGGAGCTCCCTATGGGGCCACGAAACGTGTGAGGGGTGTGCCGAAATGGGTGCGGTGGGCGCATGGGAGCGCAGCCACTGGGGCCTTCGGTGGAGCTCCCTATGGGGCCACGAAACGGGTGAGGGGTGTGCCAGAATGGGGGGTGGAACCGCATGCGGGCGCAGCCACTGGGGCCTTCGGTGGAGCTCCCTATGGGGCCACGAAACGTGTGAGGGGTGTGCCAGAATGGGGGGTGGAACCGCATGCGGGCGCAGCCACTAGGGCCTTCGGTGGAGCTCCCTATGGGACGGGGACCGACACGTGTGAGGGTGTGCGAAATGGGTGCGGTGGGCGCATGGGAGCGCAGCCACTGGGGCCTTCGGTGGAGCTCCCATATGGGCCCACGAAAACGTGTGAGGGGTGTTTTTTTCTTTTTTTGGGGTTTTTTTTTTTTTTTTTTTTTTTTTTTTTTTTTTTTTTTTTTTTTTTTTTTTTTTTTTTTTTTTTTTTTTTTTTTCTTTTTTTTTTTGTGCAGAAATGGGGGGTGGGGCAGGGGCGCAGCCACTGGGGCCTTCGGTGGAGCTCCCTATGGGGCCACGAAACGTGTGAGGGGTGTGCCGAAATGGGTGCGGTGGGCGCATGGGAGCGCAGCCACTGGGGCCTTCGGTGGAGCTCCCTATGGGGCCACGAAACGTGTGAGGGGTGTGCCGAAATCTGTGCGGTGGGCGCATGGGAGCGCAGCCACTGGGGCCTTCGCTGGAGCTCCCTATGGGGCCACGAAACGTGTGAGGGGTGTGCCGAAATCTGTGCGGTGGGCGCATGGGAGCGCAGCCA